GGGCAGGGGGAAGATGATTGGTGCAGTTCGAGAAGCGCAGTTGATCCGAAGATGTCCGACAAGTCCGATTCGAGCCCGGAGTGTCCGTTGACAGCGGGAACACGTTGGAAGTGGTTGTGCGTCGCCGTTTCGTACTGAGCGACGTTGTGATTTCGGTCTCCGCGTTTCGCTTTGGCGGAAGCGATGCGGTTGGCTTCGTAGATCGCAGCGCCGGTCTTCACTGTCCTTCTCCATGTTGATCGCTCGAGTGCAAACTCCTCCTATTTGGCCGTGTTGATTTGCAGTCGCTTCAGGGGGGACTTCAGGGTATCCTTGTAACGGCGAATATGGCCTCCTTGACGGCGAGAACCCGTCGCGACGTCTCCTTAGAAGAGTCGTTTGGGTAGTCGCTCGTCGTCAATGCGCACCAGGTGGCCGCTCCAGCGCAGCTGCATTTGTCTCAGGATGGCGTAGATGCTGAGGATTCCCGTCCGTTCCAGCACATCAGTGTCGGGGATGCGATCCTGCCAGTTCAGCCTCAGGATGCGGCGAAAACAACTGAGGTGGAAGTGGTTCAGACGGTGTGCCTGCTTTGAGTACACCGTCCAAGTCTCTGCTCCATACATTAGCGTCAGCAGGATGACGGACTTGTACATCTTCAGCTTCGTGCTCAGTTGAAGTCCATGACGATTCCAAACTGTGCTTTGGAGGCGACCGAAGGCTTGACTGGCTTTCGAGNGAGTGAATCGCTCCGGACATCAAGATCAATTCGCCGTAGCAATTGGAACGTGAGTAAAAGCTCACCGACGTCTTGTCGATAGTGGAGACGATAAAGGTTTAAGGCTGTCAGGCGCTATTCGTATGTCAAATATTTGAGTTCACGGACAAGCTATATAGCACGTCCTTGCACACCACTTTCAAGATGAGCTATGCCCTCCCGAAGTGACGGACGCCAAGCCTATACCACATACTCCATGTGTGTCCACACAAATGTTCCCCATTCCTCACCGACGATATCGGCATCCAGTTCGTGCAAGGTTCTGCCCACAGTCCTCGAAGTTGACGTTGTCTGCACTGTGATGTTACGCTCACATCGTCTTTAATGAATACCTCACACACACACATATATAGATACGGCGAAGGCTATCTTATTTGGTATGTTGCGCCGCCGCCGCCGCCACCACCACTGACAACATCAATGAGGACACTCCTACCTGAAAATTTTTACCAAAACTCATCATTCTCATCCCACTCCTCCTCCTCCTCCTCCTCATCCTTCTAATCCACCACCATCACCACTCGATGCTTGACCAGGTCTCGTGAGGGAATGCATAGACGGACAGTTTGCAGCTTTGTCCACCACTGTGCCCGATCCCACCTCCAGTCATCTGGACATTAACTTTCCATCGGAGCCCGGTGGGTGTGGGAGGGAGGGAGATGATGCGTAGGTCTGCCTCACAGTAAACTGATTTCCGCGAAAGTCACCGGTGCTGCGTCCAGTCTGCCCGCAGCCGGTGCAGGTCGCCCCTCGTGGCTCGCCTCGTGATCCCTCCTAGATGTCCAAGTTCACAGACTAGCTCATTGTATCACAATAGCGACGGCCATTTCTACCGAAATGAAGGCATCACATCAGAAAGCGTGTTGATCGCAGTCAATTATGTGGTCATTCTTCTTATCAACCTCATCTCTTCACTGATAAGGCCGATCACATCTGTGCCGATCATATATACGCCTTCCACACACTACCAATTCCCTAACCGCACACCACCTATCAGACTCCACTGGGTGTGAGGGGGATCTCGCTCCCTCGTTTGTATTCCGACGGTCACATCAAGGCTGAGGCATGCAGTCTGACCCTAGGTCCTGAGTAGGGGGCGTATTATGCCGCCAGTTTGCACAACGTCAAGAAACAACTGTTTGCCAGTACTAATAATCAATGCAGAGCTCATTTTTCCGTTTAAAGTGAAAACATTAAGAGACGTAGCCGACTTTGAAAGACATCACCCTCTCTGCTCTAAACCCATCTCGGTGGCTGCTCGAGTTAGGCGGTGTGGGAATAGGGAGACTGGATACATTAGCTGAGATAACTTGACAGACCTGTTTACGGTGTGGGAAATATGGGAAGCAATAAAACCAAATTTGGCAACACATTCAAATATTACAGAAAAAAATGGCACGTGTTTCGGTGCAGTTATCGCGCTTTCTATTTTATAACTTAGGCCTTATTGACGATGCTCACTCCATAACACATGCTAGCATTTGGTGTATGGCGGCACGTCCAGATCGTAAAATTACACAACACTGAGCCCCATGGAAGACAAACATTTATGTTAAGACGTCGTGGTTAGTGACGACAGAGACGAAGGTGGGGAGGGAAGGAGGAGGATATTGTTGGCTCCTAGCCGCCTGGCGCAGATAGTGGATCCTGATGGAAAGCACCTCCTCGCAGGCACCAAACATGTGGTTGATATGGTGATTCCTGAGGCCAATTGGAAAGGAGGGAGGCGATGCGTCGTTGCTGAAACTGCTGACGAGATGTCGCAGTATTCGGCCACAGAGAGACAAGATGCTTCGACCTGTAGCATTATTTAAACTTGGATGCAATATAAATATGTACATGCCCGATCTTAAGAGGGCTCAGTTCTGTGGCATCCGCTCCAGTGTC